AATTTAATAAGTAAATTTAATATTTTACAAATATTTATAATATATTATTTCTTTTATTGGAATCTCAGAATCCCCGTCGCATTTTTTTTCTTAAAAAAAGAAAATACTGTTACCAACATTAATGTTTTCTGTAAACCTTATTACATGGTGTAATGTCATTTAACAACTACAATTTTTCCTTGATGTCTTATAAACAGGTAGGATGAAGAGTTTTTTAATCAAACCTTTGTAAGCTACAACTCGGCTTGCCCGATGAAGTCTAGTATTGAGTGAAATATGTAGTCAACAGTGGCGTATAAAGAATTAAATATAATTAGTACACCAGCATACATTTTTCTTAATTGAAATCTATATTGGATTTTAAAAAATGTTAATGCAATACAACTTGTTATCAGTTTTACCGTGATATAATGTTACACAGATTACCGGCCCGGCATGGCCAGGTGGATAAGGCGCTCCACTCGCAATCTGAGGGTCGCGGGTTCGAATCCCCGTCCCACCAAACATGCTCGCCCTTTCAGCCGTGGGGGGCGTTATAATGTGACGGTCAATCCCAATATTTGTTGGTTAAAGAGTAGCCCAAGAGTTGGCGGTGGGTGGTGATGACTAGCTGCTTTCCCTCTAGTCTTACACTGCAAAATTAGGGACGGCTAGCGCAGATAGCCCTCGTGTAGCTTTGCGCGAAATTCAAAAACAAACAATTCTGCAGACGGTTGTTGATGCTGTTTGTTGTTAAGCACAAAGCTACACAAAGGGCTATCTGTGCTCTGCCCATTACGGATATCGAAACCTGGTTTCTAGTGGTGCAAGTCCGCAGACATGCTGCTGTGCCACTGGGGGGTATTCTGCAGACAGAAAGCATCACGAGCATTTCAATGTAATTTGCGCACTAAACTGCTACACAGTATGACTAATTAGATTTAATGGTCGTATACTGATTCCTCTGGTTGCCTGATTTCAAGATTCTCAACATTAGTACTTTATCTGTAAAGCGGGTAATTTCAAAATTGTCCTTTTCTTTTACTTTTGTATTTTAGATCCATACTTTTCTTCCGTTCTTTTTTATTTATACAAGCATTTCATGAATATAATTTTCCATAAAGAAACAGTTTTTAAGTATATACATTAAGATTTTTGTTTCAGATTTTGTTTTTGTTTTTAAAGAGAGAGTGTTGGGAAAACTCAGAGCAAGCTACTTATAACATGAAATTTTAGTTGAAAAATCATTCTGAAACATTGTTAGATGATGCACAACACTGAAGTTGGTGAAGTATTAACTCACTTCGGATTAAAGGAATAACGACTTAAAATGTTATGTGTATGTGTGCTTATATGAAGTCAATGTAATCTACAGGTTATGTAAGGAACATTTACAGTTTTGGTATCAGAGGTTATTAATGTTACTAAGATGACGCGAAGCACAGCATCGAGTCCTATAACTATTGTGATCAGTCCTTGTAACTTGTGGTGCTAACACAACGTTGGTAAGCAAAAATATTTTTGTAAAATAACTACATAAAAGTGAAGAACTAGAGAGGTTGAGTTTGTTATATTAAAATATAGGGCACGCTGATGTCAGCAATGATCACCTCATATGTGAGGTGTGCTCGAAAACTGGAAGACGTAGTGGTACAAAACAGTTTAGAAACCCGTGAAAATATATCAAACTTTTTGGAAGTGTTCGTAACTTAAAACATCTCTTCACTTTCGGACAAAGTTAATCCAATAACTTCTGAAAAGGAACACCCCGTACTTAGAATAAAGTGTTTGTGAGATTGGCCTTGATGCATTGTTCATCCATTTCTTGTTTTATTCCTTTGAAAACAATCACTTGTATAGAGAGCACAAGCTCTATTACATGCAGTACTTCCCCTTTCTGCGTGAAATGGGTTATATCTTTTCTGCAAGAACTCAGCCTAGGCTTGATTATTTGCTTTCCAGGCTTTATCAATATGTCTGTTCTACTTTGACATTAATTTCAAAAGGTTGATTTATGTAAGCTTCCAAAAATGGCCTCCATATCTATACGTAGTTTTAGCTTGGATATGGAATTGCTATGGCTTGAGCTTCTCTTGCATGCCATTAGGGTCAAATTGGTTAATGTATCTGTACACAAATGTTCTTCATTTTAAACAGCTGAAATGGCCATGTTTTTATTACCTGTGCCAGCCAAAAGCCCGTGAATGTGACGTATCAGTTTCTGTTGGCAATGGGTAGCATCCCTGAAATACGAACTGATGCTTTTATCAAATACGTACCTAACCCAATTAAATCATCATATTACAAAACATCATTGGCAAGGTCCCAGAGAAGGATTGCCCATCAGACTGAATCACTGCCACTCTCGTCATTAAGTGATCATTGCAGTGGAAGAGAAACCTGGATAAACTTTGCTGAATTGGCAGCTGATACATGGAAAGTTTTTGAAGCTGTCCAGAACACTTAAGCAGTAACTTTAGATCTGGAAGATGCCTTCAATAGAGACCAACTATCCATTCCTACTGATAAAATGTCCAGAATTGACAGTTCAAACAAATAATGTGTGCTGTCCTTTGCTGGCAACATTCTGTTGTATAGTAGTAGCTTTAGCAAAATTGAAATTGAAAGCAAAGTGCAAGAATTTGTTTGTTTGTTGGATTTTGTGTAAAGCCCACGAGGTTTATCTGTGCTAGACTTCCCTAATCTGTAAGTGATAAACTAGAGGGAAGACAGCTACTCAACACCACCAACCTCAAACTGTTGAAATATTTTTATCAGGCAGAGTAATGGGGCTTGACCATTACTCTCAGAATCCATCTATGGCCCCAAAGTATGTAGTGCAATTTTTTAATGGTAAAGGAACACGAACCATAGAATCTCAGCTCAGTATTACAGCACATTAAATACTGGGCCATGTTTGGCCTTCTATTTAACAGGGTAAGTAAATGGTACAATGACACAGGAATGATAGTCAATCTTACCAAAGCCATGTTTTGTGCACCCAACAATAGACATACTGATGAGAAGAAACCATCACCATCTTTTGTGGACACAGTTATTTCTCCAGAAGAAACAATGAAGTACCCGGGGTAATCTTTTATAGGCAACACAACTTCACCAGCCATATTAACACCATTATAATAAGAGCTATGGGAGACATTAATGCACTGAAAGTTACAGCAGAAAATAAAGTTGAAGAACATTACCTGTTTATGCTCTACCAAAGCATTATCTGCTCCATCCTGGTTCAACAGAATACGTTATGCGGAAATTAATTTGAATTTCTCTAGCTCTGACTAAGTTTGAAGCAAGAAAGAGATTAAACACAATGAAAGCAAAATAAAAAAACAATCTTTATTCACAGCAAAAGAAAGTCTAAGTGATGAGTGCACTGAGCTTTTGGATAGATGCTTGAGAGAGTTCTCTATTTGACTTCTTACTAACCAACTAATTATTTCAGATCGAAAGATCTGAGCACTATCTATCCAATTCTGTAGTAAGCTTTCTCTCAGTGCGTAAGTTTTCCACAGAGAACAAAGTGCAGATAGAGAATGTATAGCTTTGCTCTAAAAAACCAAGAACAACAAACTCAATAGAAAAACAGGAGGATATGCCTTCAAAGTACAACATAACTTGCCAATGGTCAAGATTATTACTAACGTATTTTAAAAACTCTTGGAGAACATGAACTGAACCTGACTTAAAAAAAAAAAACAGAAACATAAAACTCTGGTTATGCTCTTTATACTGTAATATAAACTGCAAATATCTTAATTTAGAAAAAGATAATGTACAAACTTCGAAACAGTTGGAGACTTGTCATTATTTATTCATCTAATTTAGCTAGTCTAGGGGGGAAAACGCTTTCATACATTATCAGTACAATACAAACGCTAATGGTACCAAACTACATTATTTGTCTGGACAATTTATTTGTCAAATCGTATAAAATAATTTTAGATGACGTTTTATTCGCCATATCCTTAAAAAACTTTCTTAGGTAAATAAAATAAAAACTTTTAAAAACAGAGGAAACTATAATTCGAACCATAAATGATTACTTCTTGATTGATATTGCAAAGAAAGGATGCAGCTATCATCAGTAGTAAACAAACAAACTAGTATATGTATACGTATATACTGAATATATAGTAAAATAGAATGTTTTTATTTTTAAGCACAAAGATAATCAATGAGCTCTCTGTGCTGTGGTTACCATGGGTATAGAAACCCGATTTTTAGCTTAACGCTGAGCCATTGCGGTGCGAGAGGGAAATAAAATCAAGTATCCTAAATCTTATATTCAAGTAAATATTAAACCTACTGCAACTTTAAACAGATTGAAAAGTGAAATAAAAAACTTTCATAAATGTGCGGATCTTCGAAACGAGAGGGCGCTAAATCATAGTTTCCCGCTATCCAATAGCTCTACACTTCATGAGTAAGGCGCGAAATTGTTATTTGTGGCCAGGTGACTTTACTGCTGTCTTCGCATTTACGCGGTAAAGAATTGGTTTCGAGTGTGAAGAAAGAACCTGGTTAAAACGTGGTTAAAACTTAAGGTTTTGAAGACTATTCTTAAAATTGGACTTTAAAGCAAAAGCATATTGTTTCGATTATAGGTAACTGTTACTATATATGTTTTTGATTTTTAAAAATAAAATATTCCAGAATTATTAAATAGTTTTAGCAGGTAATGACTGGCACAAGCTACAACTTATAAGTTACAAGTATGATTACTTTAGCATGGAACTTTGTACTACTATGTAGTCTTTAAAAGCTAAATATAAGATATTAATTCTGTAAAGTAGTGAATTTCAACATTATTTTTTATCAACAAATATAATAGTATAAGAGTTTTCAAAGTAATAAATTAATTGCTCTCTTTGCTTATTAGATTTATATTATATAGTTATACTTTCAGATTTTGTTCAGAAAGATTCTTAATTTAGAAATTAATTGCTTTAATTATAAACAGTAAAATAGATTATTTATTATTCATGCTTTTATATTTAGTAGGTCTGCTCCAAGCAACCACAATGCCTAGCATACAGACTACAGTCAATTTCCCAATCCGGAAGACAAGATCTGGAACAAAGAATGCTGCTGTTGTTAAGAACCAAGATCAGCTTATTATTTCTAAACATTCTGTGTCGGCCAAGAAAAATTACTTATCAAGACCTCGCAGAAAATGCGAAGTAGATCGAGATGAAAATAGGGAAAATAGAGGAGAACAAAGTACTGAGTTAAATAAAAATATAGCCAGCAATAGAAACAGTCCACAAGCTTTTTGTACTCCTAGAACACCAAAGAAAAGCCCAAGTAGAGGTAAACTTTTTATGTACCTTTCTTTTTCATAACAATTGTCTGTGGTAACAGTAGCATAAGAAGCGAAAGACCTGGGCCACCCACTTTTCAATCTGTCCCAGTAAAAATGCAAAAAAAGTTAGGAAAATTACTCTCAGGAGAATGCATAAAGTTTAATCCAGAACTCAAGACCTTCCAGGGTTCTAAGGTGAATCCTGGACCCTAGGCATAGTGGGTGAACCTGTGGTGCACATTCCATCGCTTTACTCAGTCAAATAAACCTTTGGTCCCCTCATCTTTAATTTGCCTCCTACACTTCTGGGTAACATGTTTATTATTTAAGTATTATGAAGTATCTGTTCTATTATGTTTAATGTGATGGTTGAGTATGGCATTGACTTTTCTTTTACAATTTTCTAACTTATGTGTGGTTTTTGCTTACCTTTCATGATTTTTCAATATGAATGTTGGTGATTAAAAACCTAAAATTAAACTGGAATATAACTATAAGATAGTAAAGTTAAGTAATCTTTAAGATATTGGTTAGGATTAATGAACAGAATTTGAATATTTAAAATAATTTTAACAAATATTTATTTGTTGTATTTTTAATATAAATGGGATAAAATGTTTTACAAATTCTTGTGGTTTGTATAAGGACTTTACATTGAGTTTGAATTTATTTTATTTCAAAAGACTTTGCATTTTGTACTTTTTATAAGTTAAGTGTTTTAATTTTTCCAAGTTTTTCAAAAAACACTGGAATTATAGTCAAGATTTTAAACAAGAGAAAATTTGATTTTTCATTTCCATATATTATCATATGTATTTAAATCAGTTTCAATTAGAAACTTAATATTTTTGTTGAAAGAAGCAGTTTTTTGTGTTTAGAATATAGTTTATTTTTGATATATTATAGTGTATGAATCTACAATTAATTTATGGGGCACAAAGTTTTGATTTAAGCATTGAGAAGTGATTAAGTTTCAATGAAGTGTTGATATCCACTTTCCTATTGTGTTAGAAGTAGTTTTGAGAATAGACATTTGATTGAGAGCTGACTTATTTGCTCCTAATTTGTGAGTGAAAGTGCACAATTTCCCCTCTTGGACAAGATTTCCAATTTAATGGGATTAACCAAAGGTTTGATAAATTGTTTCCAATCAAAATAAAGATTAAAAAGCAATATTTTGAAGTTACCAATTAAACATTCTTAATCTGCATACTCTCTCTTGCTGTTGTGAGAGATGGTAAGATGATCAGTATTATGTAGTTGAAAATATGCAAAACTTTCTTTGCTACAATGTCATCTTGATTTTGAGGGTCCAGACATAGAATTTGTATAAATTTGTGTGTATACTAGAACATTATGACCATCAAGGAGAATCGATGATAAGAGTAATAGCCAAATAAAATATTTAACATTTATACTGTATAATTTTATAGTCATTTCAAATCTTTTACTTGTGTTAATTATACTTTTGATAAGAGTTTTCTTTAACCTTTTCTAGTTCTTTTAAAGCACAAACACATCTAAATATCAAAGAAAGGCATGAATCATTACAAATTTACATGTAGAAAGTGTCATTTCTATGCTTAACTATAAATGTAAGTCTTTTACTGTTTATAATTACTTTTGAGTTAATAATATAAATAAGTTAATATTTACAATTCATTTTGGGTGAGTTTGCTGTGACTCTAGGTACTTGTTCTTGAGTTCTGACTTGATGCTAAATTGTACTGTTTTGGCACTACTTAAAAAAAATTGAAATTGTTTCAATTGGCAGTTTTTTCTTTTATCTTATCTTCTAAAATTATTTATTAGTGTTTGATATTACTGCAATAAGTTTTCCAAAATCATGTTTTTATCAGTCAATTTTTGCCAGCATTGTTACCGAACTGCCCATAATGCACAAAAACTTGTGAAGCTTGTAGAATGTTTTGAATGTTTTTTTGTTGTAAAATGTTCTTAGATATAGGAATATAAATGTAAAAGGCTACATTTAGCTTAGCTTTGATGAGTGGAAGGGTAATCTGAATGAGCCAAATCATCTTTTGTCATCATGATCTTTCTTAAATTTATATATACATTTCCTTTTTCCTACATTTTTCAAGATACCCAACTTGGGGAGTTGTGTTCACCATCGAAACGTGCAAAAGAAAGTTCTGAGAATAATGCACCAGAAATTCTTCAAACTCCAGAAACAGGCTAGTCTTTTCAGCTGTATTTTTGATTGACGTACAGGAAAAAAAACAATTATCTTTAAACCTAGTTCCATATGAAAATAAAACTGTTTACTTAACCCACGTAATGTTTGTTAGAACTTCGAAATGTTTGCAAATGGAATTTTTAGTACATTAATTAAATCTTGTCAAATGTTTATAAAACTGGCTTTTAAAATAGTGATGCCATTTGTGATAAGGGACTGAACTTAGGACGAGCATGGTTGTAATAGCCACGTAGTTCGGAACAATTGAAAAAAAATTACATTTTTAGCAAAATTATACAATTTTTGTTTTATTCCTCTATTTTATCTTTTCTTTTTTTGAATTAAAATCAAAGTAGTTAACTAGGTCTGGAATTATCAGGATATTTAAAAATCTATCTTTTGGGAACAATTTTTCAAAGATTGAGAGTTAAAAATCTAATCTCTTTGAGAATTGGGTTGAGTAGAAGCATAGAATGAAACTGAATTTAATTGTATGCTTGAACACTGCTTTTAGACACTTTTACTTATTGTATCTTATTCTGTTAATAGGAAAGATCTCTCCTTTAAGGACGAAGAACATAACTCAGAGTGAACCAACTCATGCACCAGTACGCAGGAATATATTTGGATCTAAGTCATTTACCACAGTTCAGCTTTCTAAACGTGATGGTATGTTTGTATTAGTTAAAAGAATGAGTGAATTTGCTTTTTCTTACACTTGTATGGGCCTAACAATATAGGTTTTTACCACTTTGGACACAAAGTTGTTAATTTTAAATAGTATTATATGTGACATTATTAAGAAAGAAACTTACATGATCCTTTCTACAGAAGCAATCAGTCTGATTTGAGTATTATATTTTATTGGAATGTTAAAACAAAACCAGTAGAATTGCTAAAATCACAACATTGTAAGTTATTACGTAAAAGTCTCAAGCACAACCTTCATATCCATATTGGCTAATGTTTAAGTGTTATGCAGATTATTTGACAAATATTTTAATATATTTACTTAACATACACAAAATGTTTTATATCACTGTGTGTGTTGTGCCTAAAAATTTAAATGTTAAACTAAACTTTTGTTTCTAGTGTCCTGCTACCAGCATGCTCGCCAAGTTCTGCACACATCAGTTCCCTCTAGGATTCTTTGTCGTGAGAAAGAAATATTGGAAATAGCAGATTTTATAGATAGCCATCTAGATCATCGTTCATCCGGTTCTATGTACATTTCAGGAGCTCCTGGTACAGGAAAAACTTGCTGTTTGACTCAAATCTTAGAAGCAAAGAAGGTAAAGTTTTCATAATATAGCCGAGTAGTTCTTTCAGTAGTTTATTTCAGAGGGTATTGATTTGCAGCTAAAAGTATTTAAATTAATTGAAATTGGAATCTTTCTCTGTTTAGATTTTGTTATATTGGCTTCTTACTTGTTAATCCTTTATCTCGGGTCAAAAAATAGTTCATAAAACAGCCAAGCACTGTTAATTACTCATCGTTAACCTGATGAATTGGAGAAACTTGGTTTGTGGTTTTACATAAATACAAACGATATTGGTAGGACTCACCTTTCAAATGATGTTAATATGTAACCAAACCATGTTTTTGTTATACACTTGTGGTAAGAAAATGTTTTTCTTGTACTTTCATAACTTAACAGAATTTTTCATCATAACTAATTTGTTTTTTGTATTATATATATAATTCCCTGAATATACTTGTACACTTCTGTGAAGTTTTAAGTCTGAGAAAAGAATATAATTTTCTGTAGTTAAAACGAAATTTCAAGTCCATCTTTGTCAACTGCATGAGTTTTAGAAGTTCTACAGCCATCTACAACAAGATTTCTTCTGAGTTAAGTTGTATGCCAAATTCTAGTTCCCAGCGAGATGTCTTGAAAAGCATTGAAAAGAAACTAACAGATACAGGAAGTATGGTGTAAGCCAAAGTTTTTAATTAATTTACTTTTTTTTTGAATTAAAGTTCTTTATATGTTAATTTCTGAAAACAGAAACAAAAATCAATAATAACTTAGCTGTCTTAAACAGAGAGTTCTTATTATTAATGTCATGATAAAGAATTAAGATTATATTATTTTAGTTTTTATTAATATAGCCTAAATTATTGGACCAAACTAGTTCCTTCACATTTGAAGTTACTCTAAAATATACCAGAATATAATATTTAAAGCACTTGGACTAACTTTAAACAGTTATTTAACAAAAAAAAAAATAATTTCGAAATTATAAAACTTGTGCCAAGTTTATTCATAAATGTGCAGTTACACTAGATGCCTATTGAAAAAGTAACAGGTTAAATTGATCCACAGAGTTCTGGTACTGGACGAAATAGATCATCTGGACAGTAAAAACCAGGAAGTTCTTTACACACTATTTGACTGGCCAAGACAGAAGAATTCCAGACTTCTTTTAATAGGTATTTGACATGATTTCAATGACATTATAATGTATAAAGCTGTTAATGCATGATTCATTAATTGACAATATTTAATGTTGAAAGGTTTTGATTTAGGAACATGTCTGTTATATTATTTTTAAGAGAAAACAACTTGTTAGAATTTTGGTTGATTTATATTCAATGTTCTTGTTTGATGCGAGTCTTCAGCAACCTGGAAATTAGATAAGCCAGACTAGTTTAGTCTAGATAATATATTTAATGTCAGTTTAAACCATCTTTCCCTCTCTAGGAATAGCTAATGCCTTTGACCTAACAGAGCGAGTCCTTCCACGACTCCAGGCTTTGGGTTGCCAACCACCAGTCCTTCACTTTAAACCTTACACCAGGCAGCAGATTGTTACCATTCTTGATGATAGACTCAAGGAGGTACCAGAGTATTTGTCTCTATTATATTGTGATTTAAAGAACCATTTTTTTTTTAGTTTAAGTTTTTCTTATATGTACATGTATAAATCAATTACATTGATAATATGGTTGATTATTATGTAAACCTAAGAGTGAACTTAGTGTACAAATATTCAAATTTATTGATAGTTTATTGTGGGTAGTTGGAAAATGTTTTATATTAGAAAAAGTGCAACATTTCGACCACTAGTGCAGAACAAATTACATTGGAATATTATAATACTAATAACAAAATAGACAAGTAACCTGTAAAATTAAAAGTGAAAAGTGTGTTATTTGTGAAAAATTATATATTAAGATGATAATTGTAAACGTAATACAGGGAATTTAATTATTTACATAAAGATGTGTGTAAGTTGTTCGTCACATAACTTACAGAAGTTATAAAAGCTAAAGAGGTGTGTTTTAATTAGTAATGTTTTGTTATTTTCCTGTCGTGTATATTAGTTCCATGTTTTAATTTTGTGTATTTTAATTTTAAATATTTCATAAATGTACAAATTTTAATCATTTTGAAACCAGCTTTCCTTACCAGGGGACTCGTTAATTGTGATACTGTTTGTGATACAGATTTTTGGAAGTTGCTTAATTTTGAATAGTCATTGATACTTTTTTGTTCCTAATTAAAACAGTATGGTTGATTATAAAACTTTGTACACTGTTTAATTCAAAGCATGTTTTATATTTATCACAGAATGGTATGTATGTTTCCAGTTATAACTAATATGTTTTGTTTTACATATTTTCAATGCACCAGTAGTAAATGTAGTTCAAAATATCTCTAACAATCTATTTCAAAACAGATCCAAAGTACTGGTACCCATGTGATTCACCCTATGGCTTTACAGCTTTGTGCTAGGAAGGTTGCGGCTTGTGCTGGAGATATTAGGAAAGCTTTGGATGTTTGTAGGTAAGGAAAACAAGTGAAAATAAAGATCGATATTTGATTTTTGTATTCAGCATAAGGTAATATTTGAAACAAAAATTCCTAAAAATAGTGCAGAAAACCTGCGTAACATAATTTATTGATTTCATTTTGAAGTTTGTAAACTCAGTTATTGTTTCCAAAAGCATATTTCATTCATTTTCAAGATAATTTTAAAACTTTCTAGTTTTTCACATCTAAAATAATTACAGATTTGTTAAACAATAATTTAACACAAATACTTGTGTTTTACTATTTACTAAATAGAAAATTTGTCAATCATTTTCTGTTTAACAACTTGAAGCAACTTGTATTTCAATGGTGAAGTTTTAAGTCTTATTGTACCTTTTAAAGGAGTAGAGCTGTGTGGTTCATAATTTTTCAATAATCTTTATAGTTACTGATATCAGTGAAACTTGTCTACCAAGAAGTATAATGAATTATTGATGATAAAACAAACTTGACACACATTTGTCCAGTTTGTTTACTTTCTTTTATTTATCTAAAATGATCCAGTAACAGATATTTCAATGAATTTGCTCACTGTCAAAAGGGGTTTAGTGACAGACATAAATACTACTATTAATTCATTCTTTAGTGTTTTTTTTTCTTTGTATATAGGACATTTCTTTCAAGAACAATTACCAATTAAAAATATTGTCAGTCATTTGTGACATATATCTGAATAAAACACTAGCATTTCAATACTGAGTTTTATTTACAGTGCTTTTACTTAACTTGTTCATTGCGGATTATCAGATTTATTTTCTGTATTCATATTTGTAAATAAATACTTTGAATACTCTTAGGAATGTTGTAGTCTCATGACAAAAAAACAAAAACAAACGAAGTACTTGTGTCTATTCTAGTTCATAGCTCATACTGTTCTTGTGTGATACGTTTCCATTTACCATACTTACCTCTGACACAAACTTACAACTAATAAAAAAAATCTTTGTGTTTGGACTTTTGTTTTAAATAATGACATTTTTAATGACCCCAAAAATTTTCATGTAACCTTTAATAACTGTTTAGATACCTAACTCAGCTGTGACCTGTAACTAATAAATATAACTTTGTTTGCAAAGATTCGAGTAGTGTTATTGATTGATTACTTTTTGCTTTTTTCAGTTAAATTTTGCAGCTGATTCACTGTTTGTATTATACTGAGGGTTGCATTATAAAAAACGAAGCTTTATGAAAATAAATTCAAATCGTTTCTTCACTCAAAATACACTTCATTTAGATGTCTGAGAACCAAGCAGCCATCTGTTTCTTGTTTATAGGGTATTAAGATTTTTGAAAGTTTGAACCAGACATGTAATGTTTCTTTTCGTGCTTTCTTGAAATGTTCATATGCCTTGGCGATATAATTTTTAGGTTGTGTGTACCATACATATTGCATGTTATTGTAGGTTATTAAATTGTTTTGTATTTTAACTCTACTGTTTTCACAATGGTAGTACCATGTTTGACATGTCCCCCAGTGGGACAACGATAAGTCTACGGACTTACAATGCTAAAATCTGGTGTTTGATTTCTTGTGGTGGACACAGCAGATAGCCCAGTGTGGCTTTGCTCTAACACAAATAAAGTATTTGACAAAAAAAGTTTAAACGATTCTCTACCACTTCTACAGATCTCCTGGAAGGGACAGAACATCAAAAACATAAACATACAGACATAACACTACACTATTGTACAAAGTTCTGATATTAATCATGTAAAATATATGTGTATTGGGAACTTGTGTAATTAACAATAATTATTTCTTACAATATGAAATACATCTTATTGTTACTGAGTAATTTGTACCTTTTTATGTGAAATGTCAACAGATTTTAAAGCCAACTGCAGATGATGGTACTCCATTTTTCATTGTTTGAACTGTATTTCTTTACTTAGTGTATATATATTGTATGGTACTGATTGAATTTTATACAAATTTATTTTCAAATTTTAGTGGTGTAATATCATAAATTGTATATTTTTGATATTGAATGAACTTTAGATGTTAATTATTTTGTGGAGCTTTGATTCATTAGAAGACTTGTCCTTATTTATATTTAACTGTTAAAGTGACTTGTTTGTTTATGTATAATCATTGCAAGCTACTAGCTTACTAATCAGGATGTTTATTTTCTCTAATTGGCTATGTAAGATAGACAAGAGTACTAAAATTACCAAACTTATTAGAATTGATTTTGCATTAACAAATCACCAATGTAAAATACTGAATGGTATAAGTATCTTCATACAAAACAATACTATGTTTTGCATTTTCATGTGATGCCATTTTTCATTTCCAATTATAAATTGTTTTAAGCTAGTATTTTAACTTCCCCAAGGCTGTTTTAGAACCATTATATTTTAAAATTGTGTTACAGAACTTTTAGTCATGTCATTATATCAAGTTTTATGCACCCACCTTGTGATATATTAAGATAATGGGTTATTTAATGTAGATTTAAATATACCTAAGTAATATTTTGACTTTGTCAGGTTGCAATCCTGGAAGTCCAAGAAAATCTTTATCTAGTTCATCCCTCCCAGTAACACCAGTTGGCATGCAACATATTTCTTCAGTTCTTCATGAAGTCTATGGTTCTCGTGTCCTATCTTCAGATTCTGAAAATAGTGCTAGGTTTTCTACAATGCCATTACAACATAAGATTTTACTGTGTTCTTTACTTTTGGTCTTGAGAAATGGAAAAGTCAAAGAAGTGCCAGTAGGAAAGGTAAGTAGTCATGTGAGACAGTTAGGAACAAATTGTTTGATTACTACTAAATCAATAATTTATGTTGTAATTTGTTTATCCACTTATCAAATTTATCTTAATAGCTACTGGTGGCAAAAAATTTCATTTATTTTATTAAACAAATTTCATTTACTTTATTAAACAAATTTCATTAAGCAACATTTTTTAATAATTACAAACTCAAACTGGGTTTTTTTTTCATTCCAAAACTTCAGTGTAACTAACTGCTGTAATAACATTATACCAAAGTAAATAAACTTACAAAACAACTATATAATGGTTGTAAAAATGAGCCAATTATAAAGCAGTTGAAATACTATTGGTGAATAGATATAGAGGGCAATCAGGATATTTGTTTATAGAGGATTTTTTATTGCTGCTAAACTCTTATATTTTCCAATGTAATTCATTAACTCTCATTGCACCTGATGACAGCAAGTAAACTTTGAAAAATGAAATTTGTCTTTCTCTTGTTGTTAATTTTCCCATACAGCCATTTAATAAGTTTATTTGATCACTCTAATTTTGGATTTCTCATTTTTAGATACTTTCAGATTTTAATAGTTTTTAATATTTACCAAAAAATATGAAATATTGAACCCAAAAATAGAAATAGTTTGGCAATGAAAAAAAAGACAAAGTATTTTCATACAATAAAGGAAAAGACTGAAACAATAGTACACATTTCTTTGTGGCACTGTAAACAATAGTGCACATTTTATTGTAGCACTGTAAACTTGAGATAAAAGCTAAAATTTTATGATCAAATTTTATAAAAAGTTCTGAGTGAGATTATTTCAGAAACTTATGTGATTGAATAATTATATCCCCAGTGCTACTTTGTGGTATATTAAATTACTTAAGATTTTTGTCCAAAAAATAGAATATTAGCATGCATGTTTAGTCAAAACATTCTTTAGTGAAACTGGATAAGTTTTTCATCTTGCTGTATTTTTACATAGTTAATATTAATATTTACATCAGCATATATAAAACCATGTTAATTTTTGTGTTCTGATATCAGCTGCAAGAAATTTGGACAAGATTGTGCAAAAAACATCATGTGAGTGAATTCGACCAATCCGAGTTTATGGGTATTTGTACCCTGGTGGAATCTCAGGGTGTCATTGGTCTCAAGAAGCACAAAGAATCAAGACTGACCAAGGTATGTTACTGGAGTTTATAAAAAAAATCTGGATTGACAAATTTGTCTAAAAAATAGTTGTAGGTTGACATGCTTATTATCTTTAGCAGTTTCCAATGCTTTTAGTAAGATGTAGTAATATATACACATTTAAATTTTGTGATATTTCAAAGCTCAGTATAAAACAAATCCATTTATATAACTAACATCTAGAATTCAAAGCTTTAGAGATTAAAATATTTTTTACAAACTTTTCAAATTTTATGTTATATAAGTTTATTTTTCGTTTCTTAGATCACTTTGAAGATAGATGAAAAAGAAGTTGAACATGTAATTCAAGATAAGATGTTGCTAGCTTCAGTACTTAGTGACAAAACAGTCCTGAAAAAATGAAAATTGTTGAGCGTATTAAACCAGTTTTAAAATATTTAGTTGTAAGAATGATGTATAATGTAAATATTAAGAGACTGTTTTTACAAAAGTGAAAAGTTTTGAACTTTCTTTCACTGATTTTAATGGTTTTGGTATAAATATTTAAAAAAATCTAATAGAACATTTTATAGTCAGACAAAACTTAAGTTTGTTTTATCATTTAAAGCTTGATTTTTTCTTTATTTATTTAAGACTTAGAAGTTTGAATAGTTTTAGAATACACAAATAAATAAGCAATAGAAGTATGAAACTGTTTTGATTCATTATTAAGACTTGTGGTTGGAATGCTGTGTTTAATTGAAACTAGTATTAAAGAATTTTGGATTGTGTATTCCAATTGTTTACATTTTTCAGTGACAAAAGTAAAATTTAAATGTGGAAAGTTATGAGGTGTAAATGTTTTTTAATATTGTAGTTTTGCCATTTAATGGCTGGAATTTTTTATTTGTGTGTGTGTTTCTGTGCTATTACATGACTGGAGCCTTTTTTTGGGGTTTACACAATTGAATCTTATCCCAAATTTTGTTCTAAGTTGCTAAGATAAAGTTTTAGGTATAAGTAAGTTGCAGGTTTGTTTTATATGGCATTTAAAATTACATTTTTAGTGTTCAACTAGAAGAAAGCCATGTTTGTTAGTTATTGGTTTTAGCTTCATCTATAATTTGCTTTTAGTTTGACAGAGGAGCTAAAGTGGTAATTTATCTTTCACAGATAATTTATCCTATAACTGTTGCGAGTCATTAAATAGAAACATTTTGCAACTCCTCTTAGTAACAATAGAAATTTTTTGACAGTTTTTAAATATTATTTATCTTTCTTTTTAGCTAACTAAAATAGAGATCTACATTTTCTGAAAGAAACTAAGTCGTTTGTTGTATTTTCTTCAGCTACATTGTAAAAAAAGAAAGATTTAATGCTCCTGTTTTAGTTTAGATATTGTAAGACTAAATTTTTAGATGACAACTTTTTAGTTCATCGAGTTATTGTGTTGAACAGTTGTTAAATGTCAGTCTTGTTAATTAATACTTAAATTTTTAAACTAAAGAGTAATTGATATGATGTCTGATATTTTATCCAAAATGTATCTTGTAATTTGAAAGTGTAGTTGTGTTTTTTTAATTAAATAAAAGTAAAGAAAACTGTTGTGAAATAGTTTTTTCTTCAATCTATTAATTTTTTTATTTTACCATTAGTATAGGTAGCCCTGGGCTTTATATTGTAAATCAATATCTGAAGAAAAAAGCATGTGGCCCCTTGTTTCTTTGTCATCAAAGAGAGAAACTGGTATTGGGGTTCTTTGATTAGCTGAATTTTTTTTGATAAACCAACAAATTTCCTTCAGTGGGGTTAGTACAGATAGCCCATTGTGCATTTTTGTACATTAAAAAAGCTAATAAATCTCGTTATTTATTTTTTTTATATAATGCATAATGGTTATCTTTGAAGTTTTTTAATGATTGACTATGGGCAAAGAATGTTAAGTATGTACATTGTACATTCTTCTCCCTAATTTAATACTGGAAAAAAGTGTATTTTTCACTATCACACACACACACACACACTGTGTATTACAGTACCACCCGTTATTATCAAGTTATTTTCTGATAAATATCAGTTGCCTTCAAATCAGTTATGGTATTTGATAAGTAATCATTCATTCATAAACCGTAAGATTTAGACTAATCTACGACGTGCACAAGAAAATAGTACAAAAAAGATTGAGGTTGTTTATTAGATAATAAGCAAAATGATTTAATAGACCAGAAAATGAGATTAGTATGACCGTTCTACTTACGGAGAATACAAAGTTTGTTGTAACCCAATATGCCTTAGAGAAATATTTGTATATATAAATGAATGTATGCAAATACGATTTTAAATATTTCGATCTATTTTAACAGAGATTTACTTAAAGTGTCAGTAATGTGAAAGTTGTTTTTAAAAATCCGTTATTAAATATTTTTTAAAGATTTAACCTTTCCATAATTTTAATAAACACCGCGGGGGCACCATTAAGCTTCCATTTTCATGATGTAAATATTTTAAACAATACGTACTAGACAAATGGAACTAGTATTTTGAAGGTTTATTTTATTTGAGTCACAAGAGGGCTACATTTTTCTAAAGCAAAATTGAATTAGTGCAAACACAACAATTTATTCACATTATCCACCACAATACTTTTATCTTACATAATACATTTTTTTTTATCTTGGACGTAGTTTACATAAATACTTATTTCACAAAAATATATTGTCAAATCTTCTACCAGTATGTTAAAAGAACTTTCTTTCATAGTTATTGATCTTCTAGCACCCTTTTTTAAATCCATCTAACAAGGTATTTCTTCAATAAACTGCAAAAATATTTTGTACAGTACAATTTCGTGATCCTAGTGTACAATACCTATTCATGAAGTGTACTGAGGCCGACTGATAACACAGGCCTACGAATTTAAACTTCATAAAATCTGTTTTGGTTTTACTAACAGACTTTCCATAATTAAGCTACGCAGATTTCGAAAATAATATTAATTTTTTCAATCACTTAAGGATTTTTTACAAATCTGGAAGAAGAAAAACTTACTTAGATCAAATTATTATTTCGTTTACCACAATGAACATTCTTTATTATTATGTTTTTTAACAAAAATACAAACAAACAGAAGAACATTGATGTCAAACGAATATGCATTCTCATTCATCCTGATTTTTGGAGAGAAATCTACATCTTTCAGTCTCAAAATTAGCTGTCATGGTCTTTCTTTTATATATTGCGTTATAATGTTTTGTGAAAAATCTGTACGTGATGGGGAAAAAAAATGTATATCATTTTCGGATTCAGCGTGCAGGAGTTACCGTAGAACATGTATAAATTTCAATACAATAAAACCATCGCAGGCCTGTGTAATATATCATGTATTTAAATATTCATTTTGGATCTCAACAATTGTATTTTATTCTCGTTTTATCTCGGAGAAAATTAAAATACTTACCAATGTATATACACGAATTCGAATTAATAAGAACTAAAAAAAAAGGTTGTTCATCTGGTAGTTTTGGAAGTGTGTTAAATTTTTATACAGATATTTATTTTGATGAATGTACATTGATGTAGAAATGTCTGATATATCCAGGTGGCGTATCGTCTTATATCTAAATTATTTAATATATTTTACTAAACCTAGATCTTCCTACAGAACTTTGTAGCCTATTTATATAACTGCTGAACAGGTTTAAAAGAAATTATGGCAAGAAATATAGATTGACAATGTTTGATCAAGATAAGGAAATTTTGTGTCAAGTGGGTTACTTTAATCAGGCCTACTGTGCGTAATATACTACAAACTACTAAGGCACAGCTTGTGGGAGAGTAAACAATATATTCAAGAATTTAAGCAGATAATTTTTTTAAAGTGGCATATATTTATTGAGCCCAAGTAATAGAATCCTAAATTGATTATGTTAAACTATGTAAGTCCGCAGACATACCGCTGTGCTACTGGGGGCCGCAGTATTAGTAAAACTATCAAGATATATTTAACTGTGGGTGATTAAAAGCGACATAACTGTGAAAATACTAACACACTTAACGGTACAAGTTTTCATATTTGAGGCTGTAATAAATAAGTTACAATGGAAAGTGAAACACGGGTTTTTCAAACCCACTGTTTGATCTAAAACCACGAGGATTTCTCATTAAAGTTTACAAAAAAACTTATCTGGTCCTGGAAATATTTCATTTGAGAAAAGTAAGTTATTGAATTAAAATTTTATTATTTCAAAAATAGGTTAGTTTAGTCTAATTACAGATCACCTTGACAAATCACCATATCTCCTTCGCTAATCCGCGCTATCCAAATGGTCATTTCAATCAATAACATGACACGCGTTAGATATCAGGGAGAATAATAGAAATATACAAGACTGTGAATAGTTTTCTATAGTCAACAGTGTAGATTTTAGATAATTTTAAACGCAACAATTTCTATACAAACATCATGACAAACACAACAATTTCTGTACAAACATGATGACAAACACTGTTGCTATAACTTTTTAAATAACAATAACAACAGGACAGATATTTATCATCTGAATCCAATTCTCGACATCATAGCATTGGCTTAAATGAATAACCTCGGCAAACGAAAATCCTCGTCAAAATGATTCATTTTCTAAATAAAAACAGTGACTCTTACATATATATATATATATATATATATATAATAGTACTATTTAATTAAGTACGTTAAGGTTAGTAGACAAGTAATAACTCTAGAAGTATTACTTAAGTTAAAGTTAAGGTTAGGTTAACTTTAAC